CTGTTTCAGATTTCAGCACCACTCGTATAAGTCGGGAGCTGTTCCTTCAGCCAACCGGTCAACTTCATACAGATAAACTAAGAAAGGAGTTTGGTCCTAGAATTGATGTTTCAGTTCCTGGTTATAGATCTGAAGTCTCCCCTGAAAGTAAGATACATGTTTGGAGACTTATTCCCCCTTTACACTTGTTTAACCTCTTTGCATTTATCAGTCACTGCCTTTTATTAGTTGTGAGTGTTACCATGTTTGGATGGTGATGTAGTTCATTTTTTTGAAACCAAGAGACTCAATCCCTAGCAGTACTGAGAGAACTAAGATTGCAAAGGGATGAAAGACTTTCTCCTTTTAAGTAATCTCCAATAAAAGGCCTGCAAGCTTAATCAATACAGCATTATCAAAAACTTCTTTCAAAATTGTTCGGCACTTTTCGCTGTACTCCTATTTCTACTACTGTTCAACTATCTGCTTCAGTATTCAAGTAATAAAATAATTCGAAAGCCTTGAGCCTTTTAATTTTTGGGGGGTGGATTAAGATTACTATTTGACAAAACATTATGTTATAGTCTAAATCTGTTGGGATTTTTTGCAAGATCTCAGGTTTTGATTGTGCGGTAATTGGACTGTTTTCATGGCATGACAGATTCTGGATTTATTTATTTATTTATTTGATGTTAAAAATTACTAAAAGTCATGTTGGAAAACCACACTGATTAAATTTTTTTTGTTGATAGAGGTGAAGGGATCATATTCCATTATTATTTTTGTCAAAGAGTGCCTTCATGTTTTAATGAAGACATTAAGAATATTACAAGAGGATACTTGCTGAAAATGTAAAACCAAATGACCATTTTTGTGCGTGTGTTTGATTAATTTTCATGCTGAGTGACACTGCACTAGGGTCTGTGAACTCTCTGCTTTCCCCATGACAATGAAAAAGTTTAGAGGCGGCATTACAGTGAAGGAGAAAGGGAGTTGCAGAAGACCACTCTTGAGTCTTGGGTTGTTAAAGAGGTTTTCATGCCATCTTTTCTCTTCACACATACTGTAGGGTTATAGCTGAAAGTCAGGAAGGTGGCTGAAACATGTCTTCATGCTCCAGCATACTCCAGTTGATGGAACAGCTTTTGTAGGTGATAGACTTGCGAGTTTCTGATGGGAAGCAGCCTTGCAGCCAGGTGGTTCTGGGCATATGTGTTTATGAGAAAGTGGCTTTAAGTCACTTTACCTCCTTTGGAGCTGTGCTGAGCGCAGCTTAGATTGAGGCAGCTGTGTTTTCAGTGTCATCCTCCTTTTCCGTTCTCTGGCTTGCATCTCTCTTCTGTTCGCTTTGGTTCTTTTCTGTTCAATGTAAAGGGGAAGGGGTGGCTAATACCCATGCCCTGGAGAATTACAGTGAATGGGAATGTGTCTTCTGCCCCTCTGCAAGCTACTTAAGACTTAGATATGGGTCCCCAGGAGGAAAAATGGATTATATTCCTGCGTGTTCCATCCTTAGAACAGACAAGCAGGGTATGTATAGATCTTTGGCTCCTATTTTAATGCTTCCTGGGATGTATTTGATGCTGATATGTATAAGCCTTTTCTCCTCCTTTTTGAGTGCCTGTCCGTGAAAGGTACTTCAAGAGAGGCTGATAATTTGGCAAACAAAGTTCAGACCCGGTCATGGTAACTCTAGCTAGCTTTGAAGTTAACAGCTTGGATGGTGGTATCAAAATGTAACTTTGCAGCACAGCTGGCAGTGGTTGGGTCTGGTGGTGTTCTCAGTATAAAACCAAGCTCTGGTATGAGGACACATACAATACAGGTCTGTAAAAGCATGAAAGGCTTGGGGAGAGTGAAGCAGGGAACAGTAGGGCACTGTGTCTTCTAGTGCCAGAACTGGGGAGCAGCAGATGAGACCAGCAGATGGGCAGATGTTTGAAACAGGTATCTTCACACAATGGACCACTGAAGTGGGAAATTGTCATGGTTTAACCCCAGCCAGCAACTAAGCCCCACACAGCTGCTTGCTCACTGCCCCCTCACCCCACAGTGAGATGGGGAGAGAATTGGGGAATAAAAAAAAGTAAAACTCGTGGGTTGAGATAAGAACAGTTTAATAGAACAGAAAGGAAGAAACTAATAATTATAGTAATAACAATAATAAAATGACAATAATAATAATAATGATAATAATAATAACAGAATTGGAATATACAAAACAAGTGATGCACAATGCAATTGCTCACCACTTGCAGACTGATGACCAGTTAGTTCCCTAGCAGTGATCTGCCCCCCACCCGAGGCCCAGTCCCCCCAGTTTATATACTGGGCATGATGTCACACGGTATGGAATACCCCTGTGGCCAGTTGGGGTCAGCTGTCCTGGCTGTGTCCCCTCCCAACTCCTTGTGCCCCTCCAGCCGTCTTGCTGCTGGGCATGAGAAGCTGAAAAACCCTTGACTTGGTATAAACAGGACTGAGCAACGACTGAAAACATCAGTGTGTTATCAACATTCTTCTCCTACTGAACCTAAAACATAATACTATACTGGCTACTAGAAAGAAAATTAACTCCATCCCAGCCAAAACCAGGACAGAAATGCTTTTTTTATAAGGTGTTGCAAATGCTAACCATTTATATGGGTTCAGAAAGCAACTGGCCAAATTCACAGAAGGTAACTACTAAATACAACGATACTAATCTGCTCAGGATTCCTTGTGCCATGAAGTGCTGGATGATGGGAGAGCATACTGGGGAAGTATCTATCACTGTATGCTTCTCCTGTTTTATACCCTTTCTAGGTGTCTGCTGCTGGTTATTGTTGAAAATGAGATACTGGTACATGAGGACATTTGATGGGACCTGGTTCAGTAACCTTTCGCTCTTGTGCCTCTAGAAAGTGCACTCAGATTTTGGATTGCATTGTAGATTTACTATTGGAAGCATATTTTGATGCACACTGTCACTTAGGACTGCTTTTTGTGTAGTATGGTTTTGATAACACTCCTAGTTTGATGCTATGTATATGGTCTCAATGCAACTTTTATGAAATAATGAAGAAATGGATGATCAAGTTGTATGGTACCAGGACTGTACTTGTATGTTCTTACTTCATTGTAAATGTTAAGATACCTTTTGTTTTCCTTTGTATGATCAACATGATAGATTGGAGGGTAATAAATTTTTAGCTGAGTGACAAGCCACATCTAAACCTCCCAATCTATGTGTTGGGAGAAAAAAACAAAAGAAAAGGGAAGAAGCATTTCACCTTTTTGCAGTCTTTCTGAACACAAAATGTAAAAGTCAAATATAATGTCTAATGCTAGATTGGTAAACAGGGTTATTGCCTGGATGGGGTAATCCTCAAGTTTTCCACCCATTTTATTTTGCTGTGTAATGATTCTGAAAGCAGCTCTCAGAAGGACCAAAGCATGCAGCATTTTCTAGTACCACTTAGAATGCACATGTGTATTTGTTGTTATTTATTTACCTCGTCCCACTTTTGTTTATTCCTATTTTAGCTTTTTAATTTGCAATTCAAGTTCTTTAGCTTTGAAAGCTATTGAATATTTCACTGTGCCTTAAATGATTCTGTATTTTTAGGCAAAATGGAAGCACAGTGTGCTATAGGTGCAGCCTATATAATACTGTCTTTTTTCCAAGTTAGTCTCATGACATTGTTAAGACTCGGCACTGCATTTACAGAGTCAGTGTTCTCATTTAGCCTTCCTAGCCTGTGATTAAATGGGAGTTGCTGCCTGTTCTACTATGAGTTGGCTGACAAAAGCTAAATCTGTCACAGGTGCTACAATTTGTGTATCAGAAAATTTGCTTTCCAAATACTAATTATTCCCAAAGTACCTTACTTCACACAAAGCATAGATAACAGAGTCAGCAAATTTGTCCCAGTTTTATCATTGTGCAGTAAATTAGGGTTTGTCTCCTACCATTGTGTAAAGTGAAGATGTTAGAAATTCAAATGCAGGAGAACCCATTGATTTACAACCTCTGATGTGTTTTTTCACTTAATTCTTTCAATCAAAATGCATGAAATGTATGTTATTCAAATTATCATTGCTGAATTTCACTTCTGTAATTGAATGAGCTGTTGTCCAGGGACATAGGATGGTGGGAAACTAACAGTGTTGTCTCTCCAGATGTTGTTAAAAATTGGAAGCGTTTTGTGTCTGAAGGGCCCAGACCTAACCTGGTCATATGCTTAAACTATTAATTTGGGAAGTTAATTTAATATGATGGTACCTTACCAGGAATTATCCTTCTAGTTGCTATGGGAGAAGAATGGACCCTCAGTCATTGAAACTGCAGCTGAATGAGTGAAAGCATTCAGTTTATAACCTCCTCAGAGTCTGTGAGTCACGTATGTCATGAAAACACACATGTAGTACCTGTGCACAGGCATGGAGTTGGGTTCCTGTGCCCCCTCTTCCACTGCTCCCTTTCATGGAGACCCTTCGTAATAACCTGTTACAGCCCCAGTTGCCCGTATGATGTATTTTAACATTGAAGCCCCAGGGTCTCCCTAGATAAGTTTGTAGTTCAGGTAGGCTATTGCTCAGTTAAATCTTTTGTAACAAATCTAGCTGTCGTCTGAGTGAGCAAATGTTTGACACTAGACGCAGAATGACCTGCTAAAATAGCAGCTGGAACTGTGTTTCAGCAGCTTCTCCTTTTGTTGCCGAGAATTACCTAGGAACCCCTTCTGAGATTAGACAAGTATTTTCAATGTATATTCAAAATATTTAGCTTATAGAGTGACTTACACAGAAAAGGAAGAGCATTAAATGCTGTAAATGAAATTTTTAGCAACAATTTTTGCATTATAAACTAGCTTAAGAAACTGTTTATTTACTCCCTTGATGAAAATGTTGTATATTTCTAGATTTCTGACAAATGCGAACACTGGTGTGATTTAACTTTTAATAGCAGTGATTCACAGCTCTAGTTGTTTGGTTTGTGTATAGTAATACTGATTTGTATTTTTATTTTGTTTCTGTAGGACTATTTAACCATTCACAAGTATGGCAATGCAGCCAGAAATGATCTCTGGAACACATTGTCAAAGGTAAAATGCTTTAATTTATTGCACTGAGGGAGAAGCAGGAATTTACTGTGGTATTTTTCTTGGTGAGGTTAGGAGTGAGTAGTGCATATTGAGATCTTCAGACCCCAGAGCAAATATAAAAATTGATGCAAAGAAATTCCATTTGATTTAACATAGTGGCAACATTAAAATATGTTTTTAGCAGCATTTCTATTCTTTGTTATGTTAGAATATATTTCCTTAACTGGGCTATGTCACTGATGTGCAGTAAAAGACACTTCATGGAATCTGCTATCATTGACTTTAGTGGCAGCACGCTGAGGCCCAGAAGCTGGAAAACACATGAAAGTGCTGAGCTTTGGCATTTATATCAGGTGTGTTTGGGATTTTGTATGGAGTTATGATTCGTGTGAAGGACAAAACTATCAAAGGTTTAAAGTTTGGTGTAAACAGATAACTATTTAGTGTAACATTTGCATCCTGTAGAGACTTATCGTTGCTATGTCCATGCTCCCTTTGGTCGCTACGCTCAAGCTTGGCTTGAGTTTCCAGAGCCCGGTCCAGGGATCTATAGGGGCAGAGTTTAATTTTCATAAAGTGAGCCAAGAATGCCTGAATTTCGTGCCTACAGAGCTAGTCTGGGCACTCCAGAATAAAGACAGAGTGCAAGGCAGTGTAGAGTACAGTCAGGGAGTTTTGGGCACAAGTACCAACTCAAGCCATGTGTAAACATGACAGTCTAGTTGTAACTGTTGACACTATAGCTAGGAGTCAGGTGGAGGTCAAGACATCTGCATTTACCTACACAAGCAGGTATATACATATAACTGGGTGTCCAAGCTCCAATTGTTGTCAATGAGGGCTGGATTCGGTTGCCTGCTCATAGACAACAATGTTTACCTTAATTTATCCTACCTGGCTTCCAGCTGCCACATGAGATAAGCATGCCTGCTGTAGGTCCACCAGTTCTGCAAGAATGTGTTGAATATTTCAGGACATCTCATTTGACACTTGGTGAGTAGGAACAAGTGGAGTCCCAGAAATCCAGACAATATAGTCAGCAGAGCGTAGAGAGCAATTCAGTTGACTAGCCACTACACAATTATTTTATAGTGAGCCTGAACCACCAACTGTTGACTAGGGACTTGAGGTAGTTGTTCAAATATAGGCAACTAGTGCCAGATTAGGTGCAGTAGGGCGTTCAAGACGTTCAGGTGGGTCTAATTGATTTGACACAAATTCTGTGGGGAATTCTGTACTCTTCTGGAGTGGTAGGTCAAGGTCAAATGACATTAGCCACCTATGTGTGGGCAACTGAACTGAGTCCTATGTCTGTACTGACTGCTAATGAGAGTTGAGACATGTAACATGCAGTCAGGCTCTTAAACCTGTGTCTTAATCTGAAGTTGAATGCCACTGCAAAAGTCTTTCTTGCTTCTCACCTGGTGTCTTCCTCTGTTAAAGCCTTTGGGACAGCTCTGGGTGATGGGAGGTCAGAGGGATGAATGTAGTCTTGAAAGAAGAGCAGAACCCACAGCTAATAAAATAGAACAAAAATGAGACTGTATTCTGGTCCATAACCACTACGGCTATACTGTATGCTCAAATCTATTGTTAAGCCTAATAATTCCGTTTGCCTTACCTGTAAGCACGTTTGTTGCCAGCCGCTTTGTTCCTAATGCATTGCAATTGCAGCTTCAGTTCTAAAGACTTCTTGCTGGGTTCTGCTTGTATTCATCAGAAGTTGCTCAGTCTGTGATCTAGGACCGTTCGGCAGCTAGGGACATTTCCATCGCTGAAGAACAAATGATGCCTGTCATTCTTCTCATACCCAGTCTCATGTCCCGTGATGCCATAGTATCTCTTTCTGTTTCAGATGAAAATCCACTTGTAAAACAGCATTTTTATTGACAAACGGTATCAAATATGAACACATTAATCCTCCATGTGTTATGACAGGTGCAGTTTATGAAGGGGCTGGGGATATCTAGATATACATGGCCTCACTTTAGACATGAGGGACAGTATTTTCAAATAACTAGTAATTTGATTTTTAGAACAGAGACACTCCGTGCTTTTAGAAATCCGGGCCTTTGAATATGCCTTATTGTAGGTACCCTAGATCAACTAACACGGAGTCTTGTTTAACCTTAGCCGGTCAAGAATATCTTTTGGAGACAGCCACCCAGTATTTCCGTGCTGTTGTTAAAACCCTGTAAAGCAGGTTGTTTCTTCTGTTACAGCAGAAGTGCCTGAATGATGTGGGAAACATGACTTTCTGACTGTCACTCTCCTCTCTGGCAAGATTGCTCCATGTTTATTTTTAAGATATACAGAGACTGTTTGTTTAAATTATCTAGTGTATGTGTACTGGGTGTAAATGTCTGTGTGTGCATGTGTGAGGGTTATTTAAACCTCTAAAACTAATTATGGTCTCTTGGACAAACAAAAAAAAAAGAGGTTTATATGTTGGATGATGATACTGCTTCAACATATTGAAACTTTTCTTTTTTCTTGAAGGCTTTAAAAAGGGTTGGAAAATCTGTAAATATCCGAGAAGTAATGGATCAGTGGACACTACAGATGGGTTATCCTGTTATCACTATCTTGGGAAATGAAACTACAGACAATGTCATAGTGATCTCCCAAGAGCGTTTTGTTTATGATAGTGATGCTAAACCCAAGGATCCTTCCCTTGGAGACAGCAGGTACTTACATTTCTCAATGAATATTTTTCAAGAGGCTGTAGTTGTTTAAGTAAGTGCTTCATGTGTGTATTTTTATGAAGATGGGTCTTTAGAAATCTCTGAGCTTTGCTTGGTATGAATAGCATGTGGTGACCCTTCCATTTGAACTGTAGTAAAGATGAGTCTAGTTAAAAGAATTGAAAAAAATCATTAGAGTAATAGAACAACAAGATAAAGCTTTTAATGTGCCCATTTGCATTCTGGTAGTCCTCTCTGTGATTACATCTTATGTCTTACATCACACATCTCTTTCCTCTCCTTTTCTTTTGATTTTGTCACACTCCATGAAGTAATTTGGATTCTGGTTGGAAGGTCTGATACTTCTTTTTAAGTAATTCCTTGGAGCGGTCCTCTCCATGCTCATACATTGGGTAGGCAGATGTAACCATGTGTCAGATACATACCTCGCTTGACTTGGGAAGCAGTCAAGAGCTGAACTGGACCTCTGTACAAGGCAGGGGGTTCCAGCTGTTTCATTTTTGAAGCCAGCTGAACTGGTCCTATGGGGACTGTGTACGTTGGCTGAAATCAGCAGGCACTTACGCATCTCTGCCCCTACCCTTTTTCCACTTCTTAGATTCTTTCGTTCCTGCTCCCAGCTGACTCCACACGCTTCCTTCATCCCAGAAGCAAGCTGACATTCCTGGTTGATGCTGGGGAATCCTCATCTTATTGTTTTAAGCAGTTTTGGCATCATGCTTCAAGGCCAAGAATATAGAGCTGATGCTAGAATTACAAGATAGCCTTAGAAGCTTCTGTGTTCACCTATTCATGCTCAGCGGGAAAGAGGGCACGGTGTCAACCTTGAGTACTCTGTGTTAGTCCAGTAGATTTAAATCATTAAAAGGTAAAATTTAATACCAAATTTTGATTGACATATCTGGAGCTTGTAGAATATTCCTGCTGAGGAAGGCCTAAAAATACAGTTACGTTTATTGGGAAATGTTTAGAAGTTCATTATCCTTTTTTTAGAACATGAATATGGAACTCAGACATGACACAGAGTACGTAGTTGTTTTTCTGGCTGTATTGGAACAACCCAGCAGGGTATTAAGCATCTGTTTAAGTTCTGGGCTGAAATTAGTTCCTTTGTGAAAAAGAGATAAAACAAGTGAATGTGGACTGTTGAAAGTGTTCATGACTCACAGTTCAGTGCAGCTTGAGAGAGATTCTCCCTTATTCACTTGAAAATTTCTTTTGTGCAAATGTATATACATGTAATGTAATTTAAGTGGATTTTACTACTCAGAAAAACAGAGATTATTAGGCTTTTTGATTGATTAAAACAGAGATGTTAAGCCTTTTAAATATTGTAGAGACTTCCTTAAATAGATTTGCTAGGTACTCAGTATTGATTGTAATAACTGCTGCTGTAATTCATGAGTAGACTACTGGGTGTATAAATGTTTTGGAAGGTGGAATATCAGGGCTGGTGTGGTGGGTTGACCCTGGCTGGATGCCCCAGGTGCCCACTGAAGCTGCTCTATCCCTCCCCTCCTCAGCTGGACAGGGGAGAGAAAATAGAACAAAAGGCTTGTGGGTCAAGATAAGGACAGGGAGAGATCACTCACCAGTTACTGTCATGAGCAAACCAGACTTGAGTTGGGGAAATTAATTTAATTTATTACCAGTCAAATCAGAGTAGGATAATAAGAAAGAAAACTAAATCTTAAAACACCTTCCCTCACCCCTCCCTTCTTCCCAGGCTCAACTCCACTCCCGATTTTCTCTCCCTCTCCCCCCCCAGCAGCGCAGGGGGACGGGGAATGGGGGTTGGGGTCAGTTCATCGCACGTTGTCTCTGCCGCTCCTTCCTCCTCAGGGGGAGGAGGACTCCTCACTCGTCCCCTGCTCCAGCGTGGGGTCCCTCTCGCAGGAGACAGTCCTCCACAACTGGCATGGGTCTCCCTCCTTCTCTGGCATGGGTCCCTCCCGCAGGCTGCAGTCCTTCAGGCACAGCCTGCTCCAGCGTGGGCTTCCCCTGGGGTCCCAGCCTCCTTTGGGCATCCCCCTGCTCTGGCGTGGGGTCCTCCCCGGACTGTAGGTGGAGATCTGCTCCCCTGTGGACCTCCCTGGGCTGCAGGGGGACAGCCTGCCTCACCGTGGTCTTCACCACGGGCTGCAGGGGAATCTCTGCTCCGGCACCTGGAGCATCTCCCCCGCTCCTTCTCCACTGACCTGGGGGTCTGCGGGGTTGTTTCTCTTACATGTTCTCACTCCTCTCTCCGGCTGCAGTTTCTGTGCTGCAGCAACTTTTTTTTCTGTTCTTAAATATGTTACCAAAGAGACAATGCCACCATCACTGACGGGCTTGGCTTTGGCCGGCGGCGGGTCCGTCTTGGAGCCGGCTGGCATGGGCTCTGTTGGATGTGGGGGAAGCTTCCAGCAGCTTCTCACTGAAGCTGCCCCTGTAGCCCCCCTGCTACCGAAACCTTGCTGTGCAAACCCAATGCAGGTGAGAATTAGACTTAGTTTTATTTTCATATGTGACAATAAATCAGAATTCAACTTGTATCTTGTGATACATGGAAGGATAGTGTTCTACAGCAGCATGGTGAGTTATGCTGTTTCTTAGGAGATTTTGTCTACAGATTTTATCACAATTATAGTTTCTAAATATTGGAAGTAAAATTTAGTGCTATAGGGAGCACAGAGAAGGGTATCAGCATGAGCCCTGCCAGGAATTTACTGTTCTAACAGGCAGTACAACACATATTATATGTATCTCCTTTGGCAAGTCTCTTTCTTGTTCTCTTCCCCCTTTGGATTTGTTTTTCTTTGTGCTTCCGTGTCCTTTTAACCACAAATGGGAAGGAAGCCCCTTGCCCAAGGAAGGCTTCACAGGTGGGATGTTTACTCCAGCCAGTTAGATGATGGAGCTAATTTGCCACTTCCCAGTTGAAGTTATTTGAAAGTCATGTTACGTAAGCATAAATACCAAAGAAGAGAAACCGTATACATTTAGCAAATGGTAAAACTTACCTATGCATTCACCTTTCGAAAATCATCCACCAATTTACACTGAAGTCCTATGGCTTAGTTATAAATCGGTGTCTAGAGTGTTTATAACAATGTCCATGTGACTAATTGGTGCAGTGCCCACAGGCACATGTGGCTTGGTATGCACAATGGCTCTGTGTCATTAAATATCCTTTCATACCATCAAATTAAGTAGAAAAACAAGATTGACATACTGTAAATAAATTTAGTCTTAGTGCCAGCAATGACCTAGATCTTTTTCAGGGCTTTTTGTGGTTTCTTTTGCATTGGAAAAGTCACTATTGCTTCAATTATTGTGAAAGCAGTAGACAGGGAAAATCACATTAGTGTGATGTCATTTGATAATTCATTATATATTACCTTGGTTTCTAACATTGCAAGAGCTGAAGTTTGGATAACATGATACAAAGGGGGGTGACAACTGGAATGGAAACAGCACGTTGACGGACGGTCAGCACTACTGTGAAGTGCAGTGTTCTGGCTGATTCTGCTGGTAGCTTTGGTCAGGAAGTTGGCAAGGGTTTACTGACGTTCCGCGGGGGCTGATAGCGCAGGTAGGTGTTGTGGGAGGCAGAGAGGTATATATATATATACATATATATATATATAACGTCAGCCTGCAGGCTTTGGGGGTGTTACGTATCAGTGGCCTAATTCACAGTCCAATAAAGTCGGTGCTCATCTCCCCTGCGTGACCCATCAATTAGGTGTTGGAACGCATGGCTCCCTGGGGAACCATAATAGGCACTGTAAATAACGGGGAGCAAATGGTATTTATGCCACATTTGAGGCCATGCTCTTGCAGGGCAGGCAACATTGGCTTCCTTAGGGTAGTTTATCTATGGATTAATCGTGATGATCATTTCAAACACTGTAAAGGGTAGAGCTACACAAAACACAGAAAAATGTGCAGGTCCAGGCCTTTCCAGGAGTTTATCATCTAAACAGATAATATGATACGCACTGGAAGGCTCCAGGGAAGGCTCTTAAAGCATCTGTCTGCCATATAGTCTTCAGTTATCTAGAGGTGGGGCTGTAGTTCGACATGGCACAGCAATAAATGTCAGTTCTGTTGCCTTCAAAGTGATGAGGCGTTTAAACTTACGGTTCAGACCCTCTCTAGGCAAATTTAACTTTGCCCTCCTTTAGAAAGAGTCACTTCAGAGTAGGTCTTTCGGATGTATCTGCTGCATAAGAAATGTGAATAGAGGCAACTGAATATTTCAGACCATTCTAGTTTTATAAAATGTCCATGCTTTTCTTTATGCCATGTATTTATGCAGCAATTAACTGTTAAAAATGAAATGTGAAGCAGCATATATAATTTTTCTCTGAAATCATATAGAGGAATATAGAAGCAGCAAGCAGATTTTTCTAAGTGATAAACAGTAAAAGTGAAAACTGTTGATGTCTTTGGCAGTGATTTACTCCTAGTTCTGCCTAGTCCATTACTATAAGTGTCTTTAATTCTACTGCAGAAGAGAATGATTACATATAGCTGATTTTCCCATCTCATGTACAGTTGGACTCCTTGTTTCTATAACTGCAGAAAAATGTGTTTCAAGGGCCATACATATATAAACTGTGGTTTATTTGTGTGCATAGAATCGACTGTATGGCATGCTAAGCTCTAACATTCGGCCTGAAATTACAGAAGGTATACAATTTCACTTCTTTGCAAACTGAACATAGATCTTATTTGACACTTACGCCTTCACATGATCCATAGTTCTCATTTTATGAGAGAATAAAACGAACAATGACAGACACCGTTTCTAGGAACACCATTCCTCAGAAGGGCCAAAATCACCGGCTTTGATTTGAACGTCGAAACCTGTGGTTGGTACAATGTTTCAGTAGCAATTTCAGCTTATCCAAGCAAAAGTTTAAAACTCCTGTGATAACTGTATAATTCATATTCTTCCCCCAAATAACAATCCTTTAGTTATGTGTAGGTTCAAT